TGGTTTATTGGAGATAGGAGTCTCACGGTCTCTCTTGCCTGGGCTGGCTTTGAACCGTGATCCTCAGATCTCAGCCTCCTGAGTAGCTAGGATTAAAGGCATGAGCCACTGGTGCCGGGCTAAAATTATAATTTTTAAAATGTGTCTCACCATGTAAAATTTTCTTGTGGGCTTCCCTGTGGGAAATTCTACCAAAGGAACACTAGTTCCTTAAAGTTTACTGATTCAAGCCCTGCTTTATTCCTTTGCTTCAAGAACAGATCTCAGTAATATTTGTAGTTGAAACCTGTCTCCATTTCTTCCTAGGTCTCCATTTTGTCTGCAATGGAACTTATTTGGAATCTGTGTGAGATTCTTTTTATTGAAGTAGCTCCAGGTGAGTCTAGTGTAGCCCCAGGTAACCCCCAAGTAATTCTGTCACAATATCAAAGAAAGACCCTGTCATCTTTTTCCATTTTTGACTTTGGTACATTTTTAGGAAGATTTTGCTACTATGATGCAGTGCTTCCCATGCGGTGCTTCCCCCCTCCCCCCCCCCGGTCTGTCGGAGCCAGAACTCTGAGCCTGGGTTCTGTCCCTGAGTTCTTCAACTCAAGGCTAGTGCTTTATCACTTCCAGCTTTTTCTGCTTATGTGGTGCTGAGGAATGGAACCCAGGGCCTCGTGCATGCAAGTCAAGCACTCTACCACTGAGCCAAACAATCCCAGGAACAGTGTCCAGGCCCTGAATTCAAGCCCCAGATCAGCAAAAACAAACATTAAAAAAAATTATAAGGAAAAAAAACCCATTTTGTTATGTTCCTTCTCTAGTAGATTTGAGGGGATGGATACATAGACATTCGGCATTGCTCATGTATCCCTAGACAATATCAGTTCTTACATGGTCATTACTTATATAGCCAGTATATATTCATAAACATTGTAGCTGTGGATGGGAGTGTGAGAGTGGGGTGAGGTCTGAGTCCGCATTCAGTCCTTTCTAGGATTCAATGAAAGAGGTGGTTGCCTGACACGGAGGGAGGGAGGATTCAGTAAGTGTCCTATCTGCATTATCCAGAATCACGTGTTCCACTTGAATGATACAACCCCCTCCTACATCTTGTCTTCCTTAACACACTCTGTCTGGTTTTTTTTTTTCTTTTTTTTTTTTTGCCGGTTGTGGGCCTGAACTCTGGGCCTGGGCACTGTCCCTCAGCTCTTCAGCTCAAGGTTAGCCCTGTACCACTTGAGCCACAGCGCCACTTCTGGCTTTTTCTGCTTATGTGGTATTGAAGAATTGAACCTAGAGCCTAATATGTGCTAGGCAAACACTACCATTAGGCCACCTTCCCAGTACTACTTTGTAACGTTTTTATTTTTGAAACTTTAGGTGTTTTAGAACTACACAGCTTTATGTAATTATCACTTGCAAGATGTTGAGTCCTGGGAAAAAAAAACTGACAAGTCTTCTTGGTATTAAAACAATTTGCTTTTTAAATCTTTTTTAAATATCAGACTGGGGACAGGTGTCAGTGGCTTATACCTGTAGTCCTAACTGCTCAGGAGTCCGAGATCTAAGGATTGAGGTTTCCAGCCAGCCCGGGCAGACAAATTCAAGAGACTCTTTGTGTCCAGTTAACTACCAAAAAGCCAGAAGTAGACTTGTGGCTCACGTGGTATAGTGTTACCCTGGCCGGGGCTTAGAGGTTCTCTGGAGGCAGAACTGTGCAGGAGGCAGGACAGGACCAGACTCCCGGCTCATCCTGTACAGACTAAGCACTAGAACTGTAGTTCTGCTTCCTGCTTTTTTGGTGATTAGTTGGAGATAGTCTCCTGGAATTTCCTGCCTGCGCTGACTTTGAATTGTGATCCTCAAGTCTTGGCTTCCTGATTATGTAGGGTTATAGGCTTGAGCCACTGGTATTCCAGTCTTCCTTCCTCCCCGCCCCCCTTAAGTTCTTTCTTTCTTTTTTTTTTTTTGGTCCGGTCGTGGGGTCTGAACTCTGGGCATGGGCACTGTCCCTCAGCTCTTCAGCTCAAGGCTAGTGCTCTACCACTTGAGCCACAGCGCCACTTCGGGCTTTTTTCTTTTTTGCTTCTTCAATGCCAGTCATTAAACTGAGCCCTGAGAGTGCTAGATGCAGTCCCTTATTGTAAAACTTTGCAGATCCTGTCACCTTTTTTTTTTGGAGACTGGTTGTGGGGTCTGAACTCTGGGCCTGGGCGCTGTCCCTCAGCTCTTCAGCTCAAGGCTAGCGCTCTACCACTTGAGCCACAGCACCACTTGCGGCTTTTTTCTTTTTGCTTATGTGGTGCTGAGGAATCGAACCTAGGGCCTCAGGTATGCAAGGCAAGCGTTCTACCAATGAGCCACCTTCTCAGCCCCTGCTCTGATTTCATTTATAAAAACTAATGTTTTAGTCAGGCTTGGTGGCAGATGCTTATAATCCTAGCACTTAGGAGGAAGGAATATCCAGAGATGAAGGCAAACGTAGAATTTAATACCTCTGAGGGCTTGCATAGTGAGTTCCAGATTGGTCTAGGTTATCTACCAAAACCCTGTGTCAGCCAAGGGTTGGAGCTGCAGCTCAGTGGTAGAGTGTTTTCCCAACATTCACAAGGCTCTGGGTTTGATTTGTACTACCACTAAAACAGAAAGAGCTGGCTTGCTAATGCTTTTGTTGTCTTATTTTTTCTTTCTTTTGGTCTTTCACAGCTTTTTTTTTTCCTCCAGAGCTAAGGACCAAACTCGGGGCCTTGTACTCGCCAGGCAGGCGCTCTTCCACTGAGCTAAATCCCCAGCCCCTTGCTAATGCTTTTATAATTAAATAGGTTTAAAGTTGAGAATGGCTTCTCTTTTTGGGGTAATTTTCTTTATTTTTCTTCTTTGTTTCAGAAAAATCAGAAACAGTGCCAAACTGCCCCTATATCCATATTGTTCGGAAAGATGTAGATGTTTACTCTCAAATTTTGAGAAAACTCTTCAATGAATCACATGGAATCTTTGTGGGACTCCAGAGAATTGAAGAAGAATTGACTGGAAAATCTAGGAAAGCTCAGTAAGTAGGCTATTGAAAAATGCTGACGTCCAAAACAATTATGAAAAGCTCAATGAAAGGCATGCTTTATTGTTTACTTTATTGTTACTACATTTTATTTTGGCCAGTCCTGAGGTTGAACTTAGTGCTTGGGCTCTGTCCTTGAGCCTCTCTGCACTCAAGACTAGCACTCTACCATTTGAGCCACAGCACCACTTCTGGCTTTTTCTGTTTATATGGTACTGAGGAATTGAACCCAGGGTTTTATGCATGCTAGGCAAGCACTCTACCAGTAAGCCACATTCTTAGCCCAACTTTTGGCTTTTTCTGAGTAGTTTATTGGAGATAAGTCTCTCACAGACTTTCCTGCCCAGGCTGGCTTCAAACCACAATCCTCAGAGCTCAGCCTCCTGAGTAGTTAGGATTAAAGGTGTGAGCCACCAATACCAGCCTTCATTTTCTAAATTTAGTAGCTACTAGTAGATTTCATCAACAAGTAACATCAGCAGAGACTCAGGAGTGGTTTATCCCATCGTTTGTATTACGTTTCATTTTTTGTTTTTGGGTGATTTCAGCTCCGCAATGCGCCACTTCAAGTTGACTTCCATCTCTCTTTTCAGCAAATTCCTATCTTTTTTGAGTGCTTTCTTTCTGGAACCACAGAATGTTCTGGACTCATCTTGTCTGTCATTTCAATTTTATAGATTGGTTCGTGTGAGTAAAAACTACCGATCAGTCATTAGAGCATGTATGGAAGAAATGCACCAGGTTGCAAGTAAGGCTTTTGTGTGTGTACTTGATGCTACTTGAAGTATTTATCTGATTATAAATACTGTGAAGTAAAAATCTTGACATTCCAATCCCAAATTCTTGGTTTCTAATTGTAACACAATCCTTTTTTTTTTTTTTTTGACGGGGGAGGTCAGTCTTGGGCTTGAACTCCTATGTTCCAAGTTTAATATATTCAGTTGCTTTACTGATTGAAATGTTTGAAGCTAAAGGCCCAAATTAAGGTTGTGAAAATTACTTTTCCAGTTCTTTAACATTGGCAATTTAAGGCCATTATAACCATGAGCCACATAGTTCCCTATTGTTTGATAGTGTCTTCTGTAACATGATTTCTTTGCTAGAGGCATTAATTAATTAATTTTTTTTATGCCAGTACTGGGGCTTCAACTGAGACCTGGGTTGTTGCTGTTCCTTAGCTTTTTTTTTTTTTGGGTCCATTCGTGGGGCCTGAACTCTGGGCCTGGGTACTGTCCCTCAGCTCTTCAGCTCAAGGCTAGCACTCTACCCCTTGAGCCACTGCGCCACTTCCAGCTTTTTTCTTTTTGCTTATGTGGTGTTGAGGAATCAAACCCAGGGCCTCAGGCATGCAAGGCAAGCACTCTACCACTGAGCCACCTTCCCAGCCCTTCCCTAGGTTTTTCAAAGATAGTGCTCTTACCACTTGAGCCATAGTTCTGCTTCTGGTTTTTTGGCAGTTAAGTTGGAATCTCACCACTTTCCTGTGTTGGCTTTGAACCAGGATTCCCAAATCTCAGACTCTTGAGTAACTAAGATTTAAGTGTTAGTCATCAGTGCTTGGCAGTTGAGAGCCTTGATTTGTCATTGCTTTACATCAAATGAATATGAACCACTAAAGCACAGCATTCACTTCTATAATCGTAGCTACTTGGGAGGTGAGATTGGAGAGTGGCAGGTTGAGGCTGGCCTTGGCAAAACTTTTGAAAAGTTTCATCCAAAACAAAGCTGTGTGTGTTGGCAATTGTCTGCATCCCTGTTACTCAGAAACTATACAAAGGAGTATTGTGGTCTGTGTTATCTTGAGTCAAAATTGAAACCCTGGCCGGGTGCTGGTGGCTCACGACTGTAATCCTAGCTACTCAGGAGGCTGAGATCTCAGGATCGTGGTTCAAAGCCAGCCCGGGCAGGAGAGACCGTGAGACTCCTATCTCCAATAAACCACCAGAAAACCGGAAGTGGCGCTGTAGCTCAAGTGGTAGAGTGCTCGCCTTGAGCTGAAGAGCTGAGGGACAGCGCCCAGGCCCAGAGTTCAAGCCCCACAACCGACAAAAAAAAAAGTGAAACCCTGTTTGGGCAAAAAAACCCAAAAGCAAACCAAAACAAACAAAAAAAAATGGGCTGAGACATAGCTTAAGTGGTAAAAGCACCTGCTTCCAAGCACTAGGCCCTGAGCTCAGACCACAGTATGGCAAAAACAAAAGAAAACTTGGACTGAAAGCAGAAAGACAAACCTCAGAGCTGTGTATATGAAGCTGTAATGAAACTAAACATTTCATTTCCATTCACTTACATGTTTTGTGTTTTGCTAGTTGCTGCTAAAGATCCAGCCAGTGGCCACCGGTATAGCAGTCAGGTAAAGGAAACTGCCCTTGAAATGAAGAGGAAGTAATGAGTGTCCTGTTTCTGTTCAATAAAGCATTGGTTTTCCCTTGTGAGTTAGAATGATGTCTGCATGCAGAGTTGGTAAAGGAAGAGCTGTATATTCTTCAAAGCAGAGTCCAGGTTTAATTTAGTGTTTTTTTTTTTTTTTTTTGTCAGTTGTGGGGCTTGAACTCTGGGCCTAGGCGCTGTCCCTCAGCTCTTCAGCTCAAGGCGAGCACTCTGCCACTTAAGCCTCAGCACCACTTCCAGTTTTCTGGTGGTTTATTAGAGATAAGAGTGTCATGGACCTTCCTTCCTGGGCTAGCTTTGATTTGTTTTTTTTTTTTTTTTGAATCTGGTCATGGGGCCTGAATGCTGGGTCTGGGCGCTGCCCCTCAGCTCTTCAGCTCAAGGCTAGCGCTCTACCACTTGAGCCATAGCACCACTTCTGGCTTTTTTCTTTTTGCTTATGTGGTGCTGAGGAATCGAACCCAGGATCTCAGGCGTGTAAGGCAAGCCCTCTACCACTGAGCCACCTTCCCAGTCCTTGGGCTAGCTTTGAACTGTGATTGTTAGATCTCTGCCTCCTGCATAGTTAGGATTACAGGTGTGAACTGGCTTATTACTAATTAATTAATTAATTAATTTTGGGGGTCAATCCTGGGGCCTGAACTCTGGGCCTGCGCACTGTCCCTCCAGCTCTTCAGCTCAAGGCTAGTACTCTACCACTTGAGCCACAGCACCACTTCCAGCTTTTTCTGTTTATGTGGTGCTGAGGAGTCAAACTCAGCGCCTCATGCATGTGAGGCAAGCGCTCTACCATTGAGCCACCTTTCCAGCCCTAATTTTTTATTTTTTGCTGGGCACTATCCCTGAGCTTCTTTTGCTCAAGGCTAGCACTCTACCGCTTGAGCCAGAGTGCTACTTCCGGCTTTTCTGTGTATGTGGTTCTGAGGAACTGAACCCAGGGCTTCATGCATGCTAAGCAAGCACTCTCTCACTAAGCCACACTCCCAACCCCTCAGGAGTGTTTTGAATGGCCATTTATTAATGGCCATTTGTCCTCAGGTAGTCACAATTTAGGGTTTGCAAACCCAGAGTAGTAATCTTCAAGTCACAACCCAGTGGGAAGCCACTTGAGGGTGGAGTTTTTCATCTAAAGAATGAGTATAAAATTACCTCTTTTTGGCCGGGCGCTGGTGGCTCATGCCTGTAATCCTAGCTACTCAGGAGGCTGAGATCTGAGGATCTCGGTTCAAAGCCAGCCCGGGAAGGAAAGACCGTGAGACTCCTATCTCCGATAAACCACCAGAAAACCGGAAGTGGCGCTGTAGCTCAAGTGGTAGAGCGCTGGCCTTGAGCTGAAGAGCTGAGGGACAGCGCCTAGGCCCAGAGTTCAAGCCCCACGACCGACCAAAAAAAAAATTACCTCTTTTTGTTGTTAGTACCCAAGGAGTTCAAGCCCAGGACTGAATAACAACAACTTGACTTGGGCACTGTCCCTGAGATTTTTTTCACTCGAAGCTAGTACTCTACTACTTTTTTTTTTTTTTTTCCGGTCGTGGGGCCTGAACTGTGGGCCTGAGTGCTGTCCCTCAGCTCTTCAGCTCAAGGCTAGCACTCTAACACTTGAGCCACAGCGCCACTTCTGGCTTTTTTTCTTTTTGCGTATGTGGTGCTGGGGAATCGAACCCAGGGCCTCATGCATACAAGGCAAGAGCTCTACCACTGAGCCACCTTCCCAGCCCAGTACTCTACTACTTTGAGCCACAGTGTGGTTAGTTAAAGAGTCTTATGGACTTTCCTGCCTAGGCTGGCTTTGAACCAGGATCCTCAGATTGCAGCCTCCTTAGTGGCTAGGATTATAGCTCTGAGGCACTGATGACTGGCTAAAATTAGAATTTTTTTTTCTTTTTTTTCTTTTTTCTTTTTTTTTTTTGGGTCCGGTCGTGGGGCCCGAACTCTGGGCTTGGGCGCTGTCCCTCAGCTCTTCAGCTCAAGGCCAGCGCTCTACCACTTGAGCTACAGCGCCACTTCCGGTTTTTTCTGGTGGTTTATTGGAGATAGGAGTCTCACGGTCTCTCTTGCCTGGGCTGGCTTTGAACCGTGATCCTCAGATCTCAGCCTCCTGAGTAGCTAGGATTAAAGGCATGAGCCACTGGTGCCGGGCTAAAATTATAATTTTTAAAATGTGTCTCACCATGTAAAATTTTCTTGTGGGCTTCCCTGTGGGAAATTCTACCAAAGGAACACTAGTTCCTTAAAGTTTACTGATTCAAGCCCTGCTTTATTCCTTTGCTTCAAGAACAGATCTCAGTAATATTTGTAGTTGAAACCTGTCTCCATTTCTTCCTAGGTCTCCATTTTGTCTGCAATGGAACTTATTTGGAATCTGTGTGAGATTCTTTTTATTGAAGTAGCTCCAGGTGAGTCTAGTGTAGCCCCAGGTAACCCCCAAGTAATTCTGTCACAATATCAAAGAAAGACCCTGTCATCTTTTTCCATTTTTGACTTTGGTACATTTTTAGGAAGATTTTGCTACTATGATGCAGTGCTTCCCATGCGGTGCTTCCCCCCTCCCCCCCCCCGGTCTGTCGGAGCCAGAACTCTGAGCCTGGGTTCTGTCCCTGAGTTCTTCAACTCAAGGCTAGTGCTTTATCACTTCCAGCTTTTTCTGCTTATGTGGTGCTGAGGAATGGAACCCAGGGCCTCGTGCATGCAAGTCAAGCACTCTACCACTGAGCCAAACAATCCCAGGAACAGTGTCCAGGCCCTGAATTCAAGCCCCAGATCAGCAAAAACAAACATTAAAAAAAATTATAAGGAAAAAAAACCCATTTTGTTATGTTCCTTCTCTAGTAGATTTGAGGGGATGGATACATAGACATTCGGCATTGCTCATGTATCCCTAGACAATATCAGTTCTTACATGGTCATTACTTATATAGCCAGTATATATTCATAAACATTGTAGCTGTGGATGGGAGTGTGAGAGTGGGGTGAGGTCTGAGTCCGCATTCAGTCCTTTCTAGGATTCAATGAAAGAGGTGGTTGCCTGACACGGAGGGAGGGAGGATTCAGTAAGTGTCCTATCTGCATTATCCAGAATCACGTGTTCCACTTGAATGATACAACCCCCTCCTACATCTTGTCTTCCTTAACACACTCTGTCTGGTTTTTTTTTTTCTTTTTTTTTTTTTGCCGGTTGTGGGCCTGAACTCTGGGCCTGGGCACTGTCCCTCAGCTCTTCAGCTCAAGGTTAGCCCTGTACCACTTGAGCCACAGCGCCACTTCTGGCTTTTTCTGCTTATGTGGTGCTGAAGAATTGAGCCCAGGGCCTCATGCATGCCAGGCAAGCACTCTACCACTGAGCCACCTTCCCAACCCAACAAACTCTGTAACTTGGTAAAATGGCAGCTGCCACACTTGAAGCCAAGCTATTTGTGTGTGACATAACTCTCTCTGCAGCTGGGCCTCTTCTTCTTCACCTCCTTGACTGGGTTCGACTCCATGTGTGCGAGGTCGACACGTTGTCGGCAGATGTTTTGGGCAGCGAGAATCCGAGCAAACATGAGAGCTTCTGGAACTTGGTAATAAATAGTCCTCTGCAGACTCTTCCATGCACTTTGTAGTCTGTCGTCCCAGTGCTCTGGGAACTCGGGGGGAGGTATGGAATTGGACGCCAGGCCTGCATGTCCCTCCTGGCTCTTAGAGTCCAGGATCATGGAAACGCTGGTCCAGCTCTTCCTCTCTGTTCCAAAGTAGTTGAAAACTAATCTAGCACAGAAGAAGACTGCTTTGTAGACTTTCCAATAAAAAACTTGAAATTTGAAGTAGGGCACTGGTGGCTTACATCTGTAATCTAAGCTACCCAGGAGGCTGATGAGTTCTAAGGATTGTGGTTCGAGGCCAACCTGGATAGAAAAGCCCTTGAGAGACACTTATCTCTAATAGGCTACTAACAAGTCAGAAAAACAAGCAAAAAATCTTAGGGACAGTGTCCAAGCCCTGAGTTCAAGCCCTAGGACCAGTATACACAAAAAGAAATTGGATTTGTTGTAGATAAAAGGAAGAAAAGACATGAGTATAAAATTGATGGCTAAGGGCTGGGAAGATGGCTCAGTGGTGGAGTGCTTACCTTGCATGCATGAGGCCCTGGGTTCGATTCCTCAGCACCACATAAGAAGAAAAAGCTGGAAGTGGCGCTGTGGCTGAAGTGGTAGAGCGCTAGTCTTGAGCTGAAGAGTTCAGGGGCAGCGCCCAGGCCCAGAGTTCAGGCTCCACGATCGACAATAAATAAATAAATAAAATTGATGGCTAGGGCCTAAGGGCTGGTTGCCACCTATCCTGAAACTCCAGTTAGATGAGCAGGGTCTGGATACTGAAACTGTAGTTAGATAAGCAGGGTCTGGGGGTCCTTCTGGAAGGAGGAGCAAGATGTTGCTCCTCCCAGGGGTGACTGTAAAACTCGGCCTCCCACCATTCCTCATGGTCCCTCATCTCCTTGCAGGTGACCATCTTGGTGCTGCAGGGCCGGCTGGATGAGGCCCGACAGATGCTGTCCAAAGAGGCTGACGCTAACCCCCCCTCTGCAGGCATGTGCCGCATCCTTGGGGAACTGATGAGGACAATGCCCGTTCTCAGTGTATGTGGGAGCTGCTGGTTGGCTGGGTCGTGTCATGGGAGATGAGGCACCATGACGCGGAAACATTCAGGTTTGGTGATGCCTCGCGGTATGTCTTTCCCCTTAGCCTGGCAATACCCAGACGCTGACAGAGCTGGAGCTGAAGTGGCAGCACTGGTGTGAGGAGTGTGAGCGGCACCTGCAGGATGGCACGTTCGCTGCCAATCCCCATCTAGAGTGTCTCTGCAAGGTCTGGGGAGCAGCCGGGTTGGGTCTGGTTGGGCTGCCCCCAGGAGCAGCCGGGAGGGATGGGGGGGGAGGGCCTGGCATCCTAGATAGTCGGGGGGTGGGGGGGAGCTGGCTCCTCCTGTGACAGCTGTCAGTTGATTTTCTGGGAGGGACCCCAGCCAAGCTGTGAGTCCCAGGGGAGCAGCCCCCTGCGTTCCAGAGCTCAGGGAATGGCTCTCTAGATCATGCTGGGGGATGAGGCCACCTTGCTGGAGCAGAAGGAGCTGCTGAGTAACTGGTATCACTTCCTGGTGACCCGCCTGCTCTACTCCCACCCCACGGTGAAACCCATCGACCTGCACTTCTATGCACAGGTGAGTGAACTGCATTGGTGGGGGCTGACTTCTCTGTGGGTGGTCTCCAGGAACTGAATATCCCTAGGAACACGTAGGCTCTGTCCTTCAACCTTTTTTGAAGGAACCCCTCACCACTCTCCAGGGTTCCCCATACAGCAGCCCTGCTGCCCTCTGTGTCTGCTTGCGTCCTGGGGATTGAGTGGGGCCATCACTTTCCACAGTCCAGCCTGGACATGTTTCTGGGAGGGGAGAGCAGCTCAGAGCCCTTGGACAACATTTTGATGGCAGCCTTCGAGTTTGATATCCACCAAGTGATCAAGGAGTGCAGGTAGGACCCCTCCCTCGAACTGTTGTAACCACTCACGGTCTCAGGTATGACACAACAATGTGCGATCACTAACACCACCGATTGTTGCCTTCCTCCTGAAGATCTGCCTTAGTCCATTTTGTGCTGTATAACTGAATAGCTGAGACTGGTTAAGTTATATAGAAGAGAAATTATGTTCTCACAGTCTGGATGTTAGGAAGTGTAAGATCAATGGCTATAGCTGGGTACTGGTGGCTCACACCTGTAATCCTAGCTACTCAGGAGCCTGAAATCTGAGGATCGCGGTTCAGTCAGCCCAGATAGGAAAGTCTATGAGACTCTTATCTCCAATTAACCACTAGAAGTGGAGTTGTGACTCAAAATAGTAGAGCACTAGCTTTGAGCAAAAGAGCTCAGGGATAGCACCCAGGCCCTGAGTTCAAGCACCATAACTAGCCAAAAAAGTTAATGGCTGAGTTAGGTGCTGGTAGTGCACACCTATAATCTTAATTACTCAGGAGGCTAAAATCTAGAGGACCACAATTTTAAACTTAACTGCATGCGTTATCTTGAAACGGATTTCAGACTTCTGCTAGCTAGGATTGTGTGAACCACTCATGCTGGGCTTTGTTTTGACTTTTTTTTTTTTTTGCCAGTCCTGGAGCTTGAACTTAGAGCCTATGCCCAGTCCCTGAGCTTCTTTAGCTCAAGGCTAGCATTCTACCATTTGAGCCACAGTGCCACTTCTGGCTTGTTCTGTGTATGTGGTACTGAGGAACCCAGGGCTTCATGCATGCTAGTCAAGCATTTTACCACTAAGCCACATTCCCAACCCAAGTGTTCTGTGAGTGTGTGTGTCTGTCTGTGTGTTTGAGAGAGAGAGAGAATATCTTAGGGCTTGAAATCAGGGCCTGGGAGCTGTCCTTGAGCTTTTTCTGCTCAATATTGGTGCTCTACCATGTGAGCCACAGCTGCACTTCTTGTTTTTTGGTGGTTAATAGAAGAACCTCAGTGTTTTTTGGTGGTTAATAGAAGAATCTCAGGAAACTTTCCTGCCTGGGCCGGCTTTGAATAGCAATTCTCAGATCTTGGCCTCCTGAGTAGCTAGGACTATAGGCATGAGCTACCAGCACCCAGACTTGCTTAGATTTTCGGACAATAGCTCTCCTAACAGCTGAGAAGTGATATCACTTCTTTTTCAAACATAGGATTTGTGGGCTTCCTATTGAAGCCCAGCTCATATGGGATTTGCTTTCTACCTGATTTCCTTGTCTTGGTGTCTGAATTTATAGCATTGCTCTGAGCAACTGGTGGTTCGTGGCTCACCTGACAGACCTGCTGGATCACTGTAAACTCCTCCAGTCACACAACCTCTAGTAAGTGAGCTAGATGCCTGGCACTGACCCTCTTCCTACCACCAACAGGGGTAGGCTGGGCCAAATGCCTGGGAGCTTGGGCTGTGGAAGGGCCAGAATGGAGCACGTCCAAAGTCTTGGTTTTGTGTTTATTGCAGCTTTGGTTCCAACATGAGAGAGTTTCTCCTGCTGGAATATGCCTCGGGACTCTTTGCTCACCACAGGTAGGGGGCCCCCGTTGCAGCTTGACTGTTTGCTGTTGTCTGCTTTCCTGATGGCCACAGAGAGATCAGTGGGGAGGAGCCCCAGGGATTGCCAACCCCTCACATCTGCCTCCATCCTCTGCAGCCTGTGGCAACTGGCAGTGGATTACTTTGACTACTGCCCTGAGCTGGGGCGAGTTTCCTTGGAGCTCCACATTGAGAGGATCCCCCTCAACACAGAGCAGAAAGCCCTCAAGGTACTTCGGATTTGTGAGCAGCGGCAGATGACTGAACAAGGTATGGTGATCATGTGCCTTGCTGGCCTCTGGGCCCTGAGCTGTGCCACTACAGTGCCAGCTTCCTCAGCCACATTCAAAGAGGCAGAGCCGTAGATGCCACGATAAAAGACCTTTTGTAGGGAGGGACAGATGATTGAGAGGTCTTTGGGGACCCTTAGAAAATGGAGAATTTTCCTTTTTATTAAGACAAGCTGAGAGCTTGTGGCTCATGCTTGTAATCCATGCTACTCAGGAAGCTGAGATCTGAGGATCACGGTTCAAAACCAGCCTGGGCAGGAAAGTCTGTGGGACTCTTTTCTCCAGTTAGCCATCAGAAAATGGCACTGTGGCTCAAACTGGTAGAATGCTAGCATTGAGCCAAAGAGCTCAGTGACAGCATCCAGGCCTGACTGACTTCAACCCTCATGACCAAAAAAAAAAAAAAGACTGGGGCTGGGAAGGTGGCTCAGTGGTAGAGTGCTTGCCTTGCATGCATGAGGTTCAATTCCTCAGCACCACATAAGCAGAAAAAGCTGGAAGTGGTGCTGTGGCTCAAGTGGTAGAGTGCTAGCCTTGAGCTGAAGAGCTGAGGGACAACATCCAGGCCCAGAGTTCAAGCCCCACAACCAACCGACCAACCAAAAAAAAAAAAAAACCAACCAGACTGACCTACTGCTCTCATGAAGTTTCCTGTCTAGTAGGTTGCTGCTGCCAGCTAAGCCTGACTCTGGAGAAGCAGAACACGAGGCACAACGCTTGTGCCTTTGCGCCCCCGTTGTAGAGGAATAAAAGCCTGCATGTCCATTACATGCTTATTATGACCATTTCTGAACAAGCCCAGGGTGTTCCTGACCCAAAGGAACTTGGATTTTCAAGCTTCTGGACACAAAACGAAGGGACTAACAAGTGGGGAGAAACTTTTTAAAAATGAATTAATTTTTATTTTTTAAACTTAAAGTAGTTGTACAAAGGGCATTCCAATTTAACATGTCCGTAAGTGTTTGGTGCTTTTTTTTTTTTTTTTTTTTGTCAGTTGTGGGGTTTGAATTTAGGGCCTGAGTTATTTTGCTCAAGGCCAGTGCTCTTACCACTTTGAGCCACAGTGCCCCAATTTTCTGGTGATGAATTGGAGATATAAGAATCTCACAGACTTTTCTGCCTAGGCTGGCTTTGAATTGTGATCCTTAGGTCTCAGCCTTCTGAATAGCTAGAATTGCAGGTGTGAGCTACCAACACTCAGTATTGGTGCTGATTTTTTTTTTTTTTTGCCAGTCCTGGGGCTTGAACTCAGAGCCTGGTGCTGTCCCTGAGTTTCTTTTTGCTCAAGGCTAGTACTCTACCACTTGAGCCACAGCACCACTTCTGGCCTTCTCTGTTTATATGGTGCTGAGGAATCAACCCCGGGGATTCATGCATGCTAGGCAAGCACTCTCACTAAGCCACATTCCCTCCCAGCCTTCGATGCTTTTTTTTTTGGTCAGTAGTGGGGTTTGAACTCAGCCTGGGCACTATGCCTGAGCTCTTCATCTCAAGGTTAGTACTTTACCACTTGAATCACAGTGCCACTTCTGGCTTTCTGGTGGTTTATTGGAGATAAGAGTCTCACACTATTTCCTGCCCTTTCTTGCCTGGGCTGTCTGAATGGTGATCCTCAGATTTCAGCCTTCTGAGTAGTTAGGATGACATGCATGAGCCACCAACACCTGGCCCATGAGACTCTTATCTCTAATTAACCACCAGAAAACTGAAAGTGGTGCTGTGACTCAAGTGGTAGAGTGTTCGCTTTGAGCTGAAAAGCTGAGGGACAGTGCCCAGGTCCAGAGTTCAAGCCCCACAACTAACAAAAAAAATAAAAAATAAATCCAGAAGTTTCCCTTTTCTGCCAACCTGTTCCTATTTTGGGTCCATGCAGAGGTTTGAGGTTGTAGTTGAGGCTATAGTAAAGGCTCTGCCTGTGCCATCAGGCTCCATCCACAATGGATTGATTCAATGGTGAAGGCCTTTCTCTGCCTCTTTTCCCTACAAAGTGCGCAGCATCTGCAAGATCTTAGCCATGAAGGCTGTTCGCAATAATCGCCTGGGCTCTGCACTCTCCTGGAGCGTCCGTGCCAAAGATGCTGCCTTTGCCACACTCGTGTCAGACAGGTAGGCGCAGCTGCATTTGGCTCTCAAGGAGTGTTTGGGAGTTTGGAAGTTGAGGTCTGATCTCTGGAATGGGCCCTGCAGGTTCCTCAAGGATTACTGTGAGCGAGGCTGCTTTTCTGACTTGGACCTCATTGACAACCTAGGGCCAGCCATGATGCTCAGTGATAGACTGACATTTCTGGGTGAGTCTTTGTTCTTTCCCAGGGCATGGGGAGATAGTTGTCATTCTAGACATAAGGGAAAAGTTTCACATATATAAGGAATAGGGATTTCCCATATATATATTTCTAGATTGGCCAGTCATTTACTTTTGCTTCATTTATTATTTTGCCTTCATCCCTTTGCTTCATTGATCATTCTTGTGTGAACAGTTTGAGAGTAAGGTGGGGTCTTGTTCCCCTTCATAAATGCGGCAGTGTGTATGTTAGTGCATAGAATAGTTAACAAAACACATGGATTCATCATTGATATTGTACATTCATCTAGTCTGCATTTTGTCAGTTATCCCAATGGTGTCCTGTGTCCAGGATCAGAATTTTAGTTGGTATTTCTCAGTGCCTCTGTCTGTGAATTTTCTTTTTTTTTTCTTGTTGGGCATGGGGCTTGAACTCTGGGCTTGAGCACTGTCCCTCAGCTTTTCAGCTCAAGGCGAGCACTCTACCACTTGAACCACAGCACCACTTCCAGTTTTCTGTTCACTTATTGGAGATAGAGTCTCATGGCCTTTCCTGCCCTGACTGGCTTTGAACCGTGATCCTTAGATCTCAACCTCCTTGGTTGTTAGGATTACAGGCGTGAGCCACTGGTGCCTGGCCACTTCCAGCTTTTTGCTGTTTAATTAGAGATAAGGCTCAGATTTGTCTGTGCAGGCTGGCTTCGGATCTGAACTCTCAGGTCTCAGCCTCCTGAGCAGCTAGGGTTATAGTATGATGGGTGCTTGGTGACTGTTACTTATTTTGAAGCTGACATTTTCTAAGATTTGGCTCCTCAGAGCCTGTGTTTTGAGCATTTTGGAGCTTGGAGATGTGTGCAAATGATCTCGCTGCTCTGTGGAGTGGCTGGAGCAGGCCCTCCACGGTTAGGGACAGGTAGCCTTTGTTGGTGTCACCTGGAGGCCAGGAATGTGCTGGTGACTTCGGGTTCCCTTCTTGTCACAGGAAAGTACCGGGAGTTCCACCGGCTGTATGGGGAGAAGCGGTTTGGTGACGCTGCTTCTCTTCTGCTCTCTCTCATGACTTCTCAAATTGCACCTCGCTCCTTCTGGATGACTCTGCTTACAGACGCCCTGCCCCTTTTGGAACAGAAACAGGTAAGGATTGAATAAGCCCACAGTTGTTTTCTCCTCTCCCCCTTGTAGTTCTGACAGCTTAGCTCTGTAGCTGATGTACATTTCTTCCAAAGTAGCTGTGGTTGCGCATGAGTATTCCTAGTTCCACATGGCAAAGCCAGTATTCATACCAGCAACGTGAATCGATGCTGTATCCATAGTAGCAGCCCAGGGCCTGACTAGAGGGCTGATGTGAGACTCAGAAGCCATTCTGTTCTGTGTGGGCTTCTTGTACAACCCAAGGGCAAGAAGACCCGTGGACCATTCTTGGACTAGCAGAGACCTTCAGGTTGGGCAGCAGCCAATCAAAGAAGCCTCTCTCTCCTAGGTGATTTTTTCAGCAGAACAGACTTATGAGCTGATGCGATGTCTGGAGGATTTGACTTCAGGGAAGCTGGAGTGTGCAGAGTTTGATGCTCATCGACTCCAGGTAACTTTTAACTTCTGGGTAGATGGTGCCGTGGTGACGATGGGGAAGTCTCCCTGTTTTGGGCTTTTACTCCTCCCCCTCCACCCTGAGAACACTACCTCCTTACAAACTCATGTTTGCTTTCTGGAACACGCTGGCTTTTGGACAGGGGATGATTGTTCAGTTCAGTGCCAGTGTCCTGGGCATACTGCTCCTGTACTGAGACTTGGTTAAGGGCATGACAAGAATGCCGCCTGCGTGCCTCATTCTGGCCCTCTGCTTTGCAGGATGACGACATAGAGACCACCAAGGTGGAGATGCTGAGACTGGCTCTTGCCCGGAACCTTGCCCGGGCAATTGTGAGAGAAGGCTCATTAGAAGGCTCCTGATGAGCTGCGGCCACGTGGCAATGTATATAGATTTTTAAAATAAATGTGCTTTTGCGAATTAAAGGCGTTTTTAATCCATCTGTTCTGAAGGTGAGGTGGTAACAATGTAATTTCTTATGTTTTGCTTTGAGGCTGGTCTTGTTATACTGGCCCAAGCCACCTTCCTGGCCTCAAGTAGCTGTGCACCCTATGCATCTGGCTTAAGGATTAGCCATACCCAGAGTTTAGAATGGTAAGTGGTATCCTGCCCGAGACGGGCACCTTAAACAAGAGCATGTGGTGATATACTTAAGCTTCTTAGGTCTTGCCTCATATCAAATCATCTGGAACACTCCATGATCTAACTTTTTGGTTATTTCCCCCCTCCCCCGCCTGCCAAAAAAAAAGTTTTAGAACCCTGTACTTGTATATAGGCAATTCCATCCAGCCCAGCCTGTCTAACTGTGTTTGGGAATTCACAGGTCACTTCCTGCCAGGGTGAATGGCCTCTTGTTTAGATTAGAAGGATTCCATGTAGGGCAAAAATGGTTTTATTTAACATGCAGCAAAACAAGGGCAGAGGAGTTGGTACATCCAGTATAGCTGTTTCCATGAAGTAGTGACCTCAACAGTAATGAGTAACGCTCATAATTGTAATGTCTAATGCTTATCATAAAGGTCCACTTCCACACAGATATTCCAGGGCTGAAGCAGCGGGTCTGGAAAGTTCTTGGATTGATTCCTTAATTAGTGAAAATGATTCCATTTTGACTTGTCCAGATGAAGCAGTGAAACCTGCTTGCTAAAGACAGGGAAGAAGAGGAGGCAGCCGCACAGAGCCACATGGGCCAGGGTGCTGTGCGAGCCCCCTTTCTCCAGAGGCAGCAGACCCCGAGCTGTCCGCTCCTCCCCAGGAGCTTGTCTGGAGCAGCCTCGGTTTGTTTCGGTGCCTCGGGGGCAGCGTGGTTGGCCTTGCGCGTGCACGCAGCTGGGTCATGCTAGCTGCGCTGAGTGCTGTGAAGCAATAGGGTCTGGTGACTTGGTTCAAGCATGGCCCCTCATCGCCTCCAGACCCAACATCTCGCTGACAGCACCCCTTCATCTGTAGCTGGGGGACAGTGCGGATTTGGGGGCAGCACACAAGGACATCCATCTAGTGCAACGTGCTTGACCCTGAGGCTTCTTCAGCCCAGCCGCACGGGTGGGAAGGGGGGCAGGGCAGGGCAGGACACCAGGTTTGGGAGTTGTCCTCTTCAGACTGAGGACAGCTGTTTACTGCATGCCAAGCAAGAGGTAGTGAGTAGGGCGGCTATCCCATGGCAGGAAATACGCTCCAGTACCTGCTTCTGAAGGGGAAACACTAGCTCGCTTCTGTTTTCCTTCCTATCCCTAGCTGAGACTCACGAGGCCAGATTCTGCTTCTGCTGGGCTGAGGTCCATGGCCTGCTGAGATGTCCATAGGACACAGCCTGTCACTCGCTAGGAACAGGCGGACCACTCACGCTGCAGCATGACAGGATGCTGTGGCACAGGAGGCGGGAGCAGTGCACCAGCCTTTCTCAGGACCGCCGGTTCGCCACCTCACGGGAGGCGGCAGCAGAGCCAGACAGCAGGGAAGCACAAGCGAGCGACTGAGGCTGCAGTGTGGTCTCAAGCCACCTGTCTTTGGGGTGTGAGGTTGGTTCTTGAGGGGGTCTGAGAACCTTCCTTTAGAACCTTGGCCTTGGGCATCAAGGAATGCCTGCAGGAGAAGGGAAACCCATCCCAGACCAGCCAGGGAAGCTCAGGGCCACTCCCCACCCCTTACAGTAAGTATATGGCTACTTCAAGTCACACAGGTAGATAGAAAACAGGTCCTTTTAGGGGCCAAGGAGGAGAGAGGATCACAGCAGTGGGCCTCTGGTCCACATCAAAGCTACAAATACTGCCATTAGGATAGTGGTTAGACCGACTGGAGCCCTCTCTGGCTCAGGGCAGCCTGCCTGCCTTCCGAGTAGAGGTCGCAGCGTCCTCTGGGGTCATAGGTTCCCCCACTGCTCCACAGGAGGAAACTGGTCCACCTCTCCCAGCTCTGTGCTCAGCTGCTCCCCCAAGGCAAAGGTCAGCCTATACCGAAGCCGCACCTTCTCCTGCGACGGAGGGCAGCAGGTGAGAGAGAGCCCAGTGCCCCCCTTGCCCCCGGTCTTCTGTGCTGGAGGTAGGTTTCTTGTCCCCACCACATCCACCCATGCTCGGCCACGGGACCTGGGGAAAGGAAAGGGACCCTGGATTCTCCCCAGCTCACTCACTCACCTTCAGTGGATTTGCCAGCAGCATGACCTGGGTGATGGCTGCAGGTGGTTGGATGGGGCTAAATGGAGAGAGTTCTGTCCCAGAGGGCGGCTGCAACTTCACTTTCATGGACTAAAGAGAAAGAAGCTCCTCTGAAGAGAGCTGGCTGGCAGATGCCAACAAGACGGACACAGACTGGGGTCTGGTTAAGGTGAATTCACAGTGCCATCTGCCAGCCACTGCAGACCCACAGCTCGCGTGGTTCAGGTGAAAGTTCTCACTCCCGGATGCCCCAGGGAGCCAGGGGTACCTTGGGCACCGCAGCCTGCAGCACGATGCTCTTGACTGGCAAGGGAGCTGTATTCAGCATGGACACCACCACCACCAGAACGTCGGGCCGGCCCGGTGGACACTCCTTGGCGAAGTGGAAGAGGATGCGGAAGCCATTTTTGTCATAGGCTGTCACAGGAAGGGCACTGCCTGTAGGAAGGTAGCATATGCACGGTAGGACAATGAGCCAGAGACATTTCTGAGCCCAGGCGGTGCCCGCCGTAGTCAAGTGGGAAAGAGAAGGGTGTGGCTCTAAGTACGGTGCTCTCTTTAGCAGTCCAGGAATGGTGAGGGCTAAGGCCACCCAGCCACAAGAAGCAGAGGCTGAGACAGCAGGCCAGGGGACCCTTAGCTATAAGGGATGCCTGCACAGGGGCACACGCTGCACACCCTGCAGCGCTCTGCCTATGACCTCCTCCCCCCCTCCAACACCTACTAGGCTTGATCGATTCCAGGGGCACATGGACACTGGCCAGGGAGAGCTCGGGCCCCTTCACAGGGCTGCCTTGGGGCTGGAAAGCTGGTGGCTGGAAGAGAGGGCTGCTGGGCCCAGCAGAGAAGGGCAGGAGAGGCCTGGCTGGGGCAGAGGTGGGGAGCCGGGGGGATGCGTTGGTCCCAGGGGGAAAGCAAGAGGAGACAGGTTTCGCCGAGCCTGAGGTCCTGGGAGGCAGGAAGGAGGACAGAAGGCAAGTTGGACAGCAGGCCAGCGACAGCTCTCAGCGACCCCGCATCCCCAGCTTCTGACCTGACTGCCCAGCATGGGTGTCCACCCCCTCAAGGCTCACTCTGGCTTGCACACCTGGCCCCGCCCTTGGCCATCCCACCTAGCGTCCCCTCCTTTACACTTTGGCCTCCTCCAGAAGCTGATCAAGGCCGTCCAGGTGGTGCAGGGTGGTGTCCCCCAGCCCTGAGCTGTGGTGCTCAGCGGCCGTGGGCTCAGTCTTTGGGGCCAAAGCTGGGGTGAGTCCGGAAGAGAACATGAAGGAGCCAGCGCTGGGGACAGGTATGCCAACAGAGACTACAGGTGCAGGGAAGGCAGGTGGCGGTGGAGCTTGGGAGGTGCTGGAGGCAGGGGCTGAGGGGGGAAGCAGAGGCCCATCTGACGGGCAGCAGGCAGAAGGCCCCAGCCTGGGTCGGAAGAAGTCCAGGTCTGACTGTTCGCCCTGTAATGGAAACAACGGGTTAGCAAAGGGCTGGGAAGGTCTGCTGCCCATGGCGGGGAGACAGCTTGCCACCCATGCAGTCCTTCCCCAGAGCTGTCCTGTCGGCCGCTGGGCTGTGCGCTGGGAGACACCATGTCTGCAGCTGGTCACGAGGAAGGAGAGGACACTTTGTTTTCTGGTACTTGAGTGATGTCACCATGATTGAGCGCCTACCTGGAACAGGTGCCACTGGCTGCTTCCAATGGAGTCCTTAGGAGGAGCTGGGGGAGCTGGGTCAGTGAGGCCTGAGAACACATGATGTTACATCAGTCCCCCTGAAGTGACCATGTGACCAGAAGTATTTGAGCGCTGGGGTGGGGAGAAAGTGGCCTTCAGGCGGCAGTGGGCGTGGGACTCCCCTTTCCTTTCTATATACAGAGGTAGGGGCCTTCTGGGGCAGGAGGAACAGAGCAAGCGGGCTGGAGTCCACAGGGAAGGCGGCCCCGGTGGCTCTGGAGATGCTGCAATTGAATGGCAAGCACACCAGACACCGCTCGGCCTTCTGACTCCACACATCCGCCCCCCCCATCCCCAACCCCGTGAGGCCACCCTTCAGGACACACCCAAGCAGAGGAGCTCCTCGTCCAGCAAGGAGAGGCCGTTGCTTGTGCTGTTGGGCCCTGGGGGGGCCTCGGCCATGCTGGAAGAACGACTGCGTGGAGGTCCCGCGGTCTGGGGGGGTGGAGGGAGGATAGGGATGCCTGAGGTGGGTGGGGCGGGTGCTGGGGCCAACACTGGGGATGAGCTGTTGGGTGTATCCAACTCAGCAAGGTCGATGAGAGTGCCGTGGCTGGACGGGTGGTTTCCTGGATGAGTCAACAGCAGGGGAATGAGAATCATCAGGAGCAGTTCTAGTGCCCCCGAAACAGGAGGCCAGAACCCTGGGCACCACAGGCAGCTCTCTTGCTTCAGGTCTAACCCAGTGGCATTTCTTCCAGGGACGCCTTGAAAAGCAAGCTAGGCAAGGCAGGCAGGAAAGTTCCCATCCTACCTCCTGGCCTTTGGGAAGCTGGTGGACCTTCAGACCCTTGGGGTCCACTTGTGGTCGGGTGGTGGGAAGGTGGGGCTGGTCTGGAGGGTCCCAGGATGGGGAACCAGAACATTTTACCTTCAGAATCAGGCATGGTTGAGGTGGTCACATCACCATTGACGATCTGCCCTTCAACGATTGTTTTGTAGGAGTTGATGACCCGGGAGAGGTTGTCACTGGCCTGCAGGATGTCCCCTGGAGCAGGAGAAAGACTCCTCATTCCTGGCTGTGACAGTTCCCACGCATACATCCAAATTCCTGGCACACCGTTGCCAACTATGCTTTCCTTTTCACTCACCTAAACTATTGTCATTGTCCTCTGTCTCGCTGGCTAGTTTAAATAATGTCCGTCTCTTGTTCTCACACCGATCATACAGCTCCTGGGAGAGACCCAGACAAAAGTCACAACGATTCAGGGATGCTGTCCAGAAAAGGGCAGGGCTCGCTAAGCGCCACAGACAGACAGGTGCTTGTCCTTCCACTGGCCGTCACCAGACCTGTCACCCAAGCCAGGAACAGGAGCTGTCAGTCAGTGGGGTAGCAGGAAGGAAGGAAGGAAGCCCCTTCCTGCCCCCCAGCTGACATGTTCCTTCAGAACTAGAGGACTGACCCAGCCACAATATCAGATGCCAGGGGAGGCCCTTCTATCCAAATTCCCCCAAGGCAGTAAGGAAAGGCCGAAAGTGGAAGTGAGCCCAGACCCTTCCACCCAGGTGCATTAGCTCATCACTCCACCTCCCCAATGCCAGCCAGACGGACGGGCTCACAGACGGCATGCATGTCCCCCAGCCGGTGTCCCGAGTGCAGAGCAGCCCGCCAGGCGGCAGCGCCTACCTTCACGAGCTCCTTGTCGGCAGGTGAGGAGTGCTCTTGGCTGTAGTGCAGCAGCACCTCATGAAGCAGCTTCACGTTGTTGCTCACCTCCTCCAGGGTGCGCATGCGCTTGGTCACCTTCTGGATCCGAGCCTCGTCCTGCCTCAGCCAACAGGGGCCAGGAGAAAGCTAGCTCACCTGGCCTATATTCCCCGCCTTACCAGGCAGGATGGTAACACAAGAACAGAGGCCAAGCCCTGGAGCTGTGCTTGGGATCACAGGCCTTTTACAGTGAGCGCCGCCCCCCCCCCCCCCCCCCGCAGCCTTAACACTCCCAGTGCTCTGACCCTCACATTCCTCCATCCTGTCCCAGATTCCAGCTCTCTTCCTCCTCACTCCAGGTGAGGGCTGGGGCAGGGGACTTCTGCACTGTGGTCCCTGCGCCTCTCCCCCAAACCCACAAGGCCCACTCACTTCCTTCACCATGGATTTGATGAGCTTATTGGCTTCTTGCAGATCATCTGGGTTTTTGCTTTTTAGCAGCTTGGCTAAGAGCTAGAAGAGAAAGGTATGAAAAGTGACAGGAAGAGTTTCCCACCTGGAGGCCTGAAACACCGGAGCTCCCAGAGACCCAAGCAAAGCCCTGTTTCCCCTGCTGCCACCACCTCTCATCCCATAGAAGCCCAGGCCTGGGATGCACTTCACCTTGGATTTCTCCTCATCATCAAACACAGGGTTTTTGGGACGAGGGGGTGGAGAGGGGATCAATGTTCTGTCCATGGGGATTGGAGGGTCAGACTGGACTATGCCTGGGAGGAGACACAAATGGCAAAGCGCATGCTCAGGGCATGATCACCTTGCTCCCTAAGCCCTGTGATGAAGACCCAGCAGAGGAGGCAGGAGACACACCAGGCTACTCACATTTCTACCACTAACACCCATTGAGCCGGGCCCTGATGACAAACACGACCCCCTTTAGGAGAAGGGGAGAAGCCTGGGGACCCCTAGCGCCTGCCCCTTCTCTTCCTTGCCCTGGCTGCCTTTAAGAGCTGCCTGGAGGGTGGAGGAAGGTGGACATACCCTGTCTCTTCAACATATGGTAGGCGTCTTTGATCTTGGCTTCTTCCGGCAGGGCCACTGTCCAGCTATAAAGCAACTCAATGACCTTGGTCTTCACTTTCTCAGACACCCTGTCTCCCAAGTACTAGGAGACAAATGAAAAACAGAATAGTAACTGCAGTTGGGAGGGAGTGTCAGGTTCTTGTCATGACCACGGAGTGCTCTTGCTAGTTAGTTCCCCAGACTGCTACAAGCCAGCAGATGTCAAGGTATGAGAGAGCAAGTTGCCTGAGGCCTAACTGCATTGTTGCCTGAAAAACCATTTCCTACAGCCCTGCCAGGACTAGAGCTCCAGCTCTAGAAACCCATGGCTGGGCGCTGGTGGCTCCCACCTGTAATCCTAGCTGCTCAGGAGGCTGAGATCTGAGGATCACAGTTTGAGGCCAGCCTGGGCAGGAAAGTTTGTAAGTCTCTTATTGCCAAAAAGCCAGAAGTGGAGGTATGGTTCAAGTGGTAGAGTGCCACATTGAGTGAAAAAGCTAAGGAACAGCACCCAGGCTCTAAGTTCAAGCCCCAATACTGGCACCAAAAAAAAAAAAAGTCCACAGAAGCAAGGAAATGGTCTTCGACTGACCTTCGGAGAGACAACTTTGATTAACTCATTCAAAAACCGGAACTTGCCCACTTCGTTATGAAACCTCCTCCCACAGTTCTTCATACACGCCTCCAGCACCTGTCGGCAACGGGGGGGGGGGGGGCGCTCTCAGTGATGCGCTGGTTCTGGCACCCAGTGCTGAGAAAATACTCCCAGGAGAAGCAGCTCAGCCTACGTGGGGTGCTTGCTGTATCCCAGAGAGGGGAGGGTAAGCCACCGCCGCTCACCTCGTCCCCTAAAATGGCACATCTCTGCAGGGGATACAGTGAGGAGGCAGAGTAAGACCCGCTGAGGCCCCACCCCGACAACCAAGTGTTGCTAAACGTTGCCAAACTGCCCCCCTGGAGAATCACTATTTCAAGATCTTGGCTCTACAACCACTGTGACAGAGGGGTGGACCAGTGCTTCTCCAGAGACTGCGTGAAGCCCAGGGCAAGGAGGGCGGCAGACGGCTGTGAGCATGGCTCTTGTCTAGTTTGGGGAGAGCCAGGAGGTGCTCAGCACCCTGTCTTACTTCTCATTTTGAACTCTCTTAGTTTGAATCAAGGCTGAGACCTGTCCTGTAAACACATCCATGGGGGCAGCCTCCCCGGTACCTGAATTCTTTTTAGCTACAGAATAAACTGTGCTTACCTCACTCTTCTTTAGAGTCAGCTGCCCCCATAACTCTAGATGTCTCTGAACCCTCAAGCTCTGGCCCAGAGGCCCAGCCCATGCACCTGAATATACATCAAGGATTTCTGGGGCACAAACTACCAGAATTACCAAGGGCCCAGTGGGTGCATGAGGAAAGGCCTGGGTGGGTGGAGACTTACTGCTTTCATCTCTAGGAGCAAAGACCTACCGTGAGGGCCTGCAATGCCTCCCATTCCTGTGGAGACTGGATCTTGTGGGCCAACAGTCGGACAGCGATCTGGGGCCTGGTGGATAATAAACCACAATCAATACATCCCCTTGGACCATGTGGCCACTTTTTGGCTGTCTCCAGTAGACTCACCCTTCAAGCTCTTTGTTGATTTGATCACAGAAGCCAATTATGTATTCCCAGTCTTCCTGGCGGTTAGAAGGATTGGTGGCTTTATCTTGGGACAGAACAAAGAAGAGGATGCTGTTATTAGGAGCAATGAGAGCCGGGCGCTGGTGGCTCACGCCTGTAATCCTAGCTACTCAGGAGGCTGAGATCTGAGGATC